GCTGATGATTTCTGGTATGGAAATAATAGTGCACTGAATTCAAGTGACAGATACAAGGATAAGGACAGCAAAGATTTTCTGGAAGATGAGGAAAGTAATTTTCAGACTAGTGTGCTTGGCTCTGACTTCAGAGTGTAATTCTATACAAAGTCACCGTGTATTTCTCTCCTGTGGCTCAGACCATGGCATGTGCTTCATTTCATCTTGAACAGGATGAGACAAGCGTCTAAAAGAAGCTGTAGTAGTTCTGTAAGGTTTTTGCTAGTTTGTTCTCAATCAAATTGAGTTCAGACTGCGTCTTGGTACTAAATACATTCAATTGTATGACTCATGAGTAGCACGTGACAAATTATTCACAATTACAGCTGTAATGGTAGCGACAGGTGCTAACCTGATATTCATGATGACAAGAATAAGTATCCAAGAGAAATTTCATTTACATTTGTCATGTTATTTTTAAAAATAGTGTGGGATATAATTTTCTGAAAGATTATCAGACAAAATGACTACTTTAGAAGAATACAATTTTGTGACTTAGAAATCTAAAATTCTTACCACTCACTGCAAATATCTCAATTTATTGGCATTCCCAATAAGTGATGTGCTTATGTAATTCTCCAAAAGGTTTATTGACTAAGATACTGAAACTTTGCCCTGAGTTTGATGGATTTGACAGTAAAAAAAAAAAAAATAGAATATTCTCAATGACTAATTTATTTTGTATAACTTTTGTTTCTCCACTAAACTCAAGCTGAATGTGTGGATATAATCTCTCTGTGTTCACATTCTCTGAGTCATCCCTGCATTCCTAGAGTTTAAGAATAGGATATCTGGGCCGGCGCCATAGCTCACTGGGCTAATCCTCCACCTTGCGGCACCAGCACACCGGGTTCTAGTCCCGGTCGGGGCGCCGGATTCTGTCCTGGTTGCCCCTCTTCCAGGCCAGCTCTCTGCTGTGGCCCGGGAGTGCAGTGGAGGATGGCCCAAGTGCTTGGGCCCTGCACCCACATGGGAGACCAGGAGAAGTACCTGGCTCCTAGCTTCGGATCAGTGCAGTGCGCCGGCCTCAGTGCGCTGGCCACAGCGGCCATTGGAGGGTGAACCAACGGCAAAAAGAAGACCTTTCTCTCTGTCTCTCTCTCTCACTGTCCACTCTGCCTGTCAAAAAAAAAAAAAAAAAAGAATAGGATATCGTGATTTTCCACGTTTTCAATCTTCAATGAGATGTAGAGCTTCCATGCACATTTTCAAAGAACAAAATAAAATATGCTGCAATCATTTAGCTATACGACCACTACTTCACCAAACCCTTGAGTAACTTCATGTGAAAGTGTGATGGGTTTAGAGATAAGAAATACATCAACATCTGCCTGTTAATGTTTTGCCCTTTAAAATAAATTCACTCCACTGAGCTCACACTGTAAGTTCATTGTTCATTATTGTTTCCTTTAAATGATAATTTTAAAAGAAGAACTGTATTCCTTATTCACTTGTGTTGAAATTTTCTCCAATCACACTGTTTCCTTGTAACCCCAAGAGGATTGGCCATTTTTAGTCAATTTTTGGTTTGTTGCCTAGAAGAATGAAGAATAAGAATGACATAAACACTAGAGGAGGGGTTGATTTCTATGACCATGATATGTTCTTTTCTGAATAAAATGTTCTGTATCATTTCTCTAGGGGATTGTAAGTGACATTAGTTCGAAGAAGCCACTACTTGCTAGATGCTCATGGTAGTATGAGGTCTTTAACTCTTTATTTAAATGTTTTACACAACTCTACAGGTTTTTAAATTGCATGGAAGGGCTTGTGCTGTGGCACAGCAGTTTAAGCTGCCGCCTGCAGTGCTGGCATCCCATGTGGGCGACTGTTATTCCTGGCTGCTCCTCTTCTGATCCAGCTCCCTGCTGATGGACTGGGAAAACAGCGGAAGATGGCCCAGCTGCTTGGACCCCTGCCACCCATGTGGGAGACCCAGAAGCTCCTGACTCCTGGCTTCAGCCTGACCCTGCCATGGCCATTGGGGCCCTTTGGGGGTAAACTAGCAGATGAAAGATTCTCTCTCTCTCTCTCTCTCTCTCTCTCTCTGCCTCTTCTCTCTCTCTAACTCTGATTTTCAAATAAATAAATTAATGTTTAAAAAACTTAATGGAAGTCTTTAATTTGCTATATTAAAGGATGCTGGTCTGCCTTACTATTTTTGGACAGAGTTAATGGTAAGGAAGCCCTTTTGTTTAATTCTATTAGGAAATTCCATGGCTAAAAATTGATGAAGTTCCAATTTTTATGTTTTGGAACTATTTTAAAATAATTCAATTTGTAAAAGATGTTATTTTCTGGGGGTCTGCCCTGTGGTACAATGGGTTAAGCTGCCACCTGGGGCACTGGCTCCCCAAATGGGTGCAAGTTGAGTCTTGGCTGCTCCACTTCCAATCCAGCCCCTTGTTAATATGTCTGGAAAAACAGCAGAGGATGGCTCAAGTGCTTGGGCCTCTGCACCTGTATGGGAAGCCTGGAAGAAGCTCCTGGCCCTGGCTTCAAGTCTGGTCCAGCCCTGGATGTTGTGGCCATTTGGGGAGTGAACAAGTGTATGTCAGATATCTCTCTCTCTCTCTTCCTCCTTCTCCCTCCCCTCACCCCATTACTCCACCTTTTAAATAAATAAATAAAATCTTTTTTTAAAGTTGGTATTTTCCATTGCCTCAGTCAATGCTTTCTAAAGCATATTTATCACTATTCTTCACTTAAAAAACATTAATTTAAGACATTCAGAATTATGGAGCTATGAGTTAGATATGGAGGAAAGCACGTATCTCTTCCTCCTAAGAAATCACCTTCTCAATGGAGGAGAGGAGTCCTCCTTTTCTCAATAAGACTTCTAATACCCAAGTGAAGTTATTTAACATTTTTAGTGTACACGCCTCCCCATCCACCCAATTTAATAGAACTTGCTGTGATAAATTTTCAGGGCACTAAGCTCATCTTGGATTTCTACTCTGACATGTAGCAAGATATTAGGAGATCATTCCAGAGACAAACGAAGTCAGAATGCCTTTATCCAAGATCTTCTTCACAGCCTTTACACACACGAGTGTGACAGCATTCTCATACTCTGGACATACGTGAAAGTCCATCAGAGTAACATTGTAAAGGATGCAAACATTGAGCCAAACACGGATGCCTTCTGGTCAATGGACGGTTGTTTATACTGGGTTTGGTGAAGTTGTTTTATAAACTCCAAATCATTTTTTTAAGCTTTATTTATTTGTTTGTTGGAAAGGATGAGAAACAAGAGAAATGGAAAAAGAAAGAGATCGATTGACCTTGCATCTGCAGGTTCATTCTCCCTAATGTCTGCAGCATTTCTGGGTTGGGCCAGGCTGAAGCCAAGAGCCAGGAACTCCACCCAGGTTCTTCACGTGGGTGTCAGGAACCCAACTACCTGATTGAACAGAAAGACTGTCCTCACTCCAAGGTCATTTAAGGGAACACAGATGCCTTCTTTACATCTCCTTTCCCACCCTCGAGTCTTAATGAACTTTAGGGTAAAGCTCACGGAACTCTGAACATTTGGGAAGAGAGAGTTTCCTGTGACACACAACAGAGTGTCCCAAGACAGTCTGTTTCTTCCTGTTGTGAGAATCTGTGTTTTTAGTGGTTTTTCTTTTTGTATTTATGTATCAGTGCATTGGCGTGATTTAATAAGATGTTTAAAGCTGAGGTTAGGTTAGAATACATCTCAAGATTTAGACAAACTTGAACTTCACACCCTTTCTCAGGAGAGATTAGCATTCAAATCTTGCTTTAGCAGAGATTCAGGAGTTATTACATGATGTGCTGGTTCATAGCTGGTTCTGAGAACCCCTGCCTTTTGGCCCCTGCCATGCCCTGTGAATGAAAGAGTATGCCAGGGTTGTTTATAGGACTGTTTTCCCTCGGGAAATTTTGTACTAGCTCCCTCTAACTCATTACTGATGCATGCGTAGTGATTTTGGCCAAATGATAGAGGAGCAACAGTGTTTACTGAAAGGCTAACAAATTTTTCGTAGACTCGTCCATCACCCATCCTTTTGGGGACTTTGCTGTCAAGAAATTCACCCAAGGTGCCAGCTTTCTTCCACCATTTAGCATCACTTTGCCTATGAAGGTCAGCTTGTCAGAGGGCTGCATCTACTATCTATGTTTCTGTCTTCTCCACTTTACAATGCACTCTGTTTTTCTTAAGCGCCAGACCACAAAATACCTGGGAGTTCATCCCTTTTACTTTTACCCAGTGGCAGTTGGCTTTGTCTTAATGGGGGAGAAATGGACGCCCTCAACATGCATAGCTCAAGTGAAGACTTAGACTAGATGGCAAAACATGTATTAATTGCCAAGAGCCTTTGGGTGCATCATTTTTTCCAGGATATGTTGAAATCATCATGTCTGAAAATGGACTTAGCAGTATGTCAGTAAATGGATGTTTGTTTAATGAGCATTATCATCCTACAATTCAGTGCCTGTAAACAGAAATGCTTTCAAGCTAATCCTAGCCAATTTCTGGGATTTTATTTCTCTGCATAATAGAAGCATTAGACTTGTTTCCTTAAAAAGAGTGCTTCGAGTCCAGCAGGCAGAGAAGCTGGACAGATAGTATTGGGCACTCATAGTACTTAACAGAATGGCAGCTCTGGGTTGGTGGAGATGAAGCACAAGCTATCACTTTCCAATTCGTTACCCTGATCCTGTTTCACATTGTGCTACCTCAACATTACTTAATGTAAGATGTACTTTTTTTCGTTCTATCAAACATACATTACTTTGAGACTTTTACTGAATTCACCAACATCCATTCAACCTATTAAACAGTGATAGAAAATACAAAAGAATAAAGTAATACATGTGCCCAGAAGTGCTTTAACTAGTTTGTGTGATCAATTCTCATTGCTAACAGGTTGAAGAGAGAATAGGTAACAAAAGTAGGCGAATGACAATATTAAATTATTGCACACAAAAACACCTTTTTCAGCATAACCTTGATTTATTTCCTAGTTTTTTTCCTCAGATGGAAAAATAATTTCATCAAGAACACAAATGCTTCTGCCAAAATGAAAGGATTTTTATGTTCCAATATTTTTTTAAAGAAAAAGTCAACATTGAACAAGGGCATGCTCTGCCTCTACCCCTCTCCCATTTTGCTAAATTTTTTAATCCGTTTGTAGAAAACAAGATATTTTCCTCAAATAGAGTGAATATATTTTATTGCTGTTTTGTTTAGTATATATTTTTCTGAATTGGGAAAAAAAAGGTCTAGGTGAAAAATTACCTATCAAGAGAAGTAGCTTACATGGTCATAACATTTAAATTGTTGCCAAAAGGAAACAAAAAGTAAAAAACAAGAAGAAAACCTTAATGTAAAATACCACATAGCTTGAAAAAACTTACCTCAGTTGTCTATCATTTAACATGTACTATAAGTCAACTCTCTAAATTGGATTATAGTCCTTTATTATAAGCCCCTAGTGGTACTATGGTATACATTTAAAAAATGCTACTACAAAAATTTTTGTTTCTTTTTGTTTTTGCCTATTGTGTACTTAAGCTATAGATAATTTTTGAATACAAAGCCTACAGTAGGTATAAATGCAACCATTAACTGATGCTGTTTGTTGATGTCCTTTTCATATCCCACAGAAGGGGGCATCTTTTAATCCAGCATCTTCTCCTGTTTCTTGCCTTCCTTTTTCTTCTTCTTAGATTCTGCTGTGATTAAAAGAGAGAAGAGAAAAATAAGTATCAAATTACTAAGCTATTAGAAGGGGAAAACCAGTTTTATTATAATGGGCCAAGAACGAATGAAAAATTAGATCTGTAGACTAATTTCTGGCTCTTGGCAGTTCTCTTAGAAAGCTGAGGGGTGTGTGTGTGTGTGTGTGTGTGCATTTACCAAGAGAATGCTTATAAGAATAGGCAGGTGCAATGGCTTAACTCTGTATGAAAATCTATAAACACCTGATATTTTATTATTTTATCTAAAAACACCTGATATTTTATTAGTTGCTTCCCTTTGGTTAAACAACCAAAGCTTTGCTCAACTCCTCACTTCTCACATTCCCTTTCCATGGGAGCATTTAGAAGTATTTTTTTCCTGAGCAAACCATTCCAAGGTGCTTCCACTCCAGATCTGCCCTCTGCTTAGATATTTGACCATCTGTTTAAAAAGAAAGACCATTAGGAATCAGATATATGTATGTATGGAGTTTTGCTTAGCAGGAATCTTACCCTTGGAGGAAGTAAGTGGATTGAGTCAAACTGAGTTAAACTAAAAAGGTAAAACCGGGAGACTCCGTCCTTTTCCATTCAATCATTTTGCTCTCTCTGTTTTCCTAACAGGAGAATGCGGTACAGAATAGGACACACCTACTTTGACTCCAAAGGTTAGACTGATCAGAATCACAGGACTAGCAAGTGAAATGATATGGTTAAGTATTTCTGAACTAATTTCTCCATTTGGTCAGCAATAGTGGCAGAATTGTATTCAGTACAAGCTGAAGAGCTAGATGTCATATTTTAAATCCAGGGTGCATCACTATGTTATTGTGAGACTTGTGGAAAGTTAAGTAAAGTATTTGTGTCTCCAATTTTTCACTTTAATGTACATATGAAAAGTGCCATAGCATGTGACAGTAGCTATAGGATTAATATCCAAATTAAATGAGTTATATAAAATCCACTGATAACAGAACATGATTAAATATCATGAGTGTGATAGCAGATTAAGAGCAACAGGTCATTTCACTGTGTAGTTAAAATTCTTCTTCAGCTTCAAGACAAATTGAACATGTCATTGAAAGTGAAAACCCACAGAGGAACACTGGAATAAAAACAAGAGCCAACAGAGTAGAGCACTGATCCTTTGATCACAGAGCTATAAACAATGAGAAAAATCATGATATGGTGTAACTGGAAATGTTATGCCTACTTAAGCAGAGCCAGAAAAATTTCCATTATTCACTATCTTTATTACCTCTTGAAGTAGATTCCATAATCCATAACACACAGAACAATCAGTATTTCTGATCAGAGTAATTGCCCTGAGATTCCTTTGCTCAAGTGATTGGCTCAATGATTGCTAAAATCTTGCAAAATTTTTGCCTATGCATGTGCATGCATTGTGTTCATGTCAGTCTACAGATTTCTCTGTTTGTATATTGAAGAGATTTAATATTTCCCTCTATTTTTGAATGCTTTTGTCGCTCCCCCTCTTCGTGGAGGAACGACACTAAACCCTGCCTAGGCTTCATATCCGAGTCACGGCACCATTATGTCACTCCCCGTCTTCGTGGAGGAACGACACAGGACCCTGCGCTGTTCTTTCGTCTGCTCGGCCCTCCCCGGGTTTGCTGCTGGTTCTTCCCGGGTTGGCTACCGGCCCTTCCACCTCCGTGGAAGGGCGGTTCCCCCTAGCCACTTTCCCCACTTCCGCGGGGGAGCGGCACACCGCCGGCCGGCTCTCTCGGGGGCTGCACAGGTGTTCCTTCAAATAGATGTTCCTGGTGCATGTTGTCTCTCTCCTCCTTTATAGTCCTCTTCCACCAATCCCAACTCTGCTACCCACACGCCGAGTACACTGCTCTCCTCCAATCAGGAGCAGGTCCTGCTGTTTATTGGTTGAACTGGAGGCAGCTGTGTAGAAGCTCTTTCCTCCTCTCCCAGCGCCATATTGTGGGAGAGCAGATGCATAGAATAAGTCTTAATTCCAGTAACTTAGTCTAGTCCGGGTTGCTCCCCACAGCTTTAATAATTTTCAACTTGTGAATGATGAAATTTACAGAACTTTCAGTCATAAATACATGAAACATCTAAGAAGGTACTCTTCTTAACTTCTAAACAAATAGCATCTGAATATTTGGTAATTCCCAATCTTTGGTTGACATCTTAAGCAACAGCTGTACATTAGGATGTTATCTTCAGGGAGCAATGTAGGACATCAGCTGAGACTTAACTCTGGTTTCCCTTGTCTTATTTTCTCACTTGTCTTACTGATGAACCTTCTGAAATGTCCAATCCTCTAGCTCACCAGTACAGTGGATGTGTGTGGCATTAGTTTTCATGTTTTCACTACTATACCCCTTTTTCATGCACAGGTTTGAAAGATGGCATTTAATAGGGTATTTCATGTTTTCCGTTTCATAATACCTGAAATTGCTCTAAATATTTTACAAAATTTGATTTATCTATTGTAGGTTGCCCATTTCAAGGAACATTTTGGGAATGGGACTACTCCCTAAATTCTCCTTAGTAAAGCCAAGTGTATACCCTCTCTCTTGCATCTGAGCCTGAATTTTCTTTCTTATTCCTTCATTAATACTCTCCAACTTTCAAAAAATCACCACTTGCCTATATATTCCATACAATGTCAATCAATTTGTCTAACATAGCTAATGAAACATCCCAGCATTACACTGACACACTGTAGACCTTATGTAAGCTACGGGCTCAAACCAAATGGAAAAATGAGGAATCTTCAGCAAAATAAAGTAGAAAGAAGGAAGACTTTACATCCATGAATATTGCTCAATGAGAGAGTCTTCCAAACTTGTCAAGTATTCCAAAGCATTTGTTCATACTGATAAGGAAGACCACGACTACACAGCAGCCAGTCTTAGGGTTCCAGGAACTCTTTCTCTTGCTGCTAATTCACAACTTCATTCTAAATGCATGGATGTAAAAGATACAGCATCCAAAGGGAGAAAAATCGGTCTTTAAAAGATTTACCCTGAAGGAAAAGATTTTCTTCCCCTCTGAATTATTTCATTCTTCTGAAAATATTATTTTCTTGCTTAAAAAGTAATAAACACTCATATAGACAAAAAAGAAATACATTATAAATATGTATGCATGTAAATATATATACAAACATATATGTGTACATAGACATATATACTAATATTACCCACAATTTCTCAATATAATATAAAAATAGCACCTCTCACAGTGGGTCATATTTATGTTTTCTTTCCAAGATTTTATATAGGAATCTATTAACAGCTCATATAACAATTTATTCTAAAAATTTGATTGTTATCAATTTTCAGTGTTATTACATACACTTTGCAGCACGACTAAATAGCATTCCTCCATGTCATTACACCCATTTTTGTTACCTTCTTACTTTTATATATTTGGACTCTTACCAACTTTGTTATTATAAATAATGATGTAATGGTGCTTTTGCTTATGATTCATGTGTTTAAATTTTGCTTTAGTATTTAGGCTGTTAGAAGAGAATTTACTGCATCAAAGAAGGTGGCATTTTAAATTTTGCTTGTTTATTTATTTGAGAGGCAGAGAGATGGAGATGGAGGGAGGGAGGCAGAGAAAGAGCTCCCATTTACCGGTTCAAACCCCAAATGCCACAATAGGTGGGGTCAGGCCGGAGCCAGGAACTCAATTCAGGTCTCCCACATGGGTGGTAGGACCCAACTACTTGGGCCACTATCTGTTTTTCCCAAAGGTCTACACTGGCTGAAAGCTGAACTCAGGAGTGGAGAAGCAATACAAACCCAGGCACTCAGATATGTGATACAGGAACCCTAATCCATGGCTTAATAGCTACGTCAAATATCTGCCCCCTGAACAGGCCATTTAAAAAGTTTTACTAATGTTCTGGGAAATGTATTTCTTGACAGAGAGTACTAATCCAAATTCTTATCAGCAGTTTATATGAGTGCCTGTCACATCAAGCCTGCTCTGGGAAGCAAGTAATACAACATCCTGAATCCTATCTTTTCCATCCATGCAAAAGCCATTTGGGAATGGGATTAGAACAAGTAATCATCTACTTCTATTACCAATATTGGGAATATAGGGTTGGAAATGGGCCTTGAGAGAAAGACATCAATTTGTAGATTGCTCTAAGATCTTGAAAGGAGATGTTTTTCAAAGAACTAGAAGAGTTGAAAATTCTGGAATACATTATCCCCTCTTCTTAGCAAGAGTTCTTGTTGTTATCACTTTTTTTTTTCTTTCAGGTGGCCTTCTACATATACCAACAAAGAAAAATAAAAAGAAAAGAAAATACTACTAAGAAGGAACTTAAGAAATGAAATTATTGAGGAGTGCCCAGATTTTAACTAAAGTGAATTAGCCTTTGTTTGCTACTGACTTAGACATAAGTGGGTTTTGGTCATTAAAGCAATGGGAAGAAGCATTGATTAGAGTAGAAATAAGATGTTGGCCCCTTCCAGGAGGAAAATTCATATTTTAAGGAAAGAAAAACAATCAGAAGTAAGCACTGCTGATTCAGAGATTAAGAGAGCCAGGGCAGAGGAGGCATGCCCGAGACACCAATGGTTCTCTTTTAGATACTTGCTTAATAAACCTCAACAACTCATTAAATGGAAAGCATCATATCATTGTCACACAGTATGATCACAAAGTACATCTGTACAGAAGACTGGGTAGCACCAGGATCCTTTTCCTGCTTTGTGCCTCTACTTCCAGTCACTCACTTGTGCCTAAGCCCTCGCCCACGCCAGCTACACTCAGGGTTGCTACTGAGACGTGTTATCTATGGATGTTCAATTTGGTAATCTACCTGGAATCCAGGAAGTGGTTAGCACAGTTTCCTAACATGGCACCATTCATTAAGTTTCCGAACAGTTCAGTTCAAATTGGAGTAGTGCATAAAAAGTGGCATGATACAGAAAGAAATCTTTATCAATTTCAAACTTGAAAATGTAATATATTAAATTTTT